GCAGTTAAAGTTGCCCAGTTTGCCAGGAAATTGAATAAACTAGAAGCAGTGCTTAAGTCTCAGACCATTCAGTGGAGACCACGGTTAGAGCCAGTGAACAGTGCTGTAGTGTCTGCAGACTCCCTGCTTCCCCTCCCACCTCCATTCGCAGAACTTTAAAAAACGAAAAAAGGATTGGGCTTGAGACCACGAGCTCAGAGCCAGTGGAGCTCAAATAGTCGGCCAGCTGGAGCTGTAAGTAGAGCACTGATAACTTTTGGTTGCCTTTTCCATTTCTTGTGTTTTATATGTAGCATTCCTTTGTGTCATGCAGGACTGAGGCGTACGTGATATGCAAGTAAGAGATCTTTGCCTTTCCAACTTGCTATTTTCAGTCTTTTCCCCTTGGATTTCTCTCAGGAGCTTTCATTTTAATTCCTAGTAAAACTTACCAGATCTTTTTCACTTCTTGTTCAGGAGAAAAGAGGGACCCGCTGACCCTGTTCTTGCTACCAGAAGCGTTGGTGGAGAGACCCCAGGTAAGAACCACTCCAGCTGTGTTCAGACAGAACTCTGGAGCCTTTTGTGCAGGAGCCAGCCCCGCGGCACGGCTTGCTGCCGCTGCGCGCCGGGCCACTGCAGCCAGCACCGTCTCTGTTAAACAAGTAACTAGCGTAAAGGAGACTGAAGAGGTGTTTTTTAAGGCTCCGGTCCTTTTGGGCAGAGCCAGTGGAATTAGTTTTATTTCTTGCTTTTTTAAAACTGGCATGGGAAAGATGAGGCACTGTTTTGAAGGGAGGAGTTTGCTGCTTTAATGGGCATTGATTTAAGACTCCGTTGTTAATTTCTGATTTGGAAAGTGGCTTCATTCCTTTTGAATGTGGCTCTGAGGAAGCTCTGTTCACACACTGTGTTTCAAACTGAGCTGACTTGTAAAGTACTTTCTGGGAGCTTGGCATAATCTGTCCTGTTTGTGCATGTCCTGTGTTTCTGCATTAAAAGGTGTATCTCCCTTGGGTGTCTGGGAGGCTGTTTGCCACAGGAGAAACTGTGATTTACTGTGGAGTGGCAGGATTCTGGATTAACTGTTTCCAGGGCGGAAGCGATAGATTGGGAAACAAACTGCTGCGGAGTTATGTGTAACAGCAGTTGTCCTATGGCAGAGAGCTGCTTGAGAAAACTGCTTTGTGTTTGGCATCTCACGAGGTCCAGCTTGTTTACTCGTTGTTTCTGTTGTGCGCTGGCATAAGGTACCTGTCTTTCCTCCCCTTCTCTGTGCCCTGGAGTCGTGAACGTGGCTTCCTTGTACGCGTGAGATGAGGCAGCACTGGTTAAATGTTGTTGGAGGGTGAAAGTAAGTCCTGATGCTGAACTCGAGCTAACAGTTTGTTATTGCCAGATCCTGCTCCTGGCTGCACCTCTCCCTGACCCAGCTTGGCTTGCTGACTGCCAAGGTGGCATTGCAATGGAGGGATAGAATCCTCTGTCTAAACAGAGCCTGCCTGTGTGCTGAGGTTGGTCCTGCTCCAGGATGATGGCTTAAAGTAAGAGAAGTCCTGTGTGTAGCTCTGAGTCTTGCTGTTTTCCTTAACAATTTGAGGGGTCGTGAAATGGAGGCTGAGGCTCCACTGACCTGGGATGATGGCACCAGGAGGGAAAGAACAAGCCCTGGAGAGAATTTCCTCATTCCTCTCTCCTGTCCCACCCTGTTTGTTTTCTTATGTGGTAGGCTGCTGCAGAGTACAAAAAAATCCTTCTGTGTGGGCATCCCTGGTAACAGTGCAGCATCGAGGCAGGTGCACCGTGAGGTCCGTGCCCTTCAGGTGTGCAAATGCTCTGCAATACCTGAGCCTGCTGAAGCCGAGGTGTGTTCCAGCTCTCCTCTCCATTGCGTGCTCAGGAATCCACTCCCATGCCTCTCTCTCTCTCTGTGCAAACATGTGGAGCAGGCAGCAGTTGAGAGATCAAGTCAGCCATTCAGACAAAAATACCCGCTGCTGAAGTGCTGGGTTTGTACAAGACTAAACCTATCTAAAGAATTTGCGATAATAGAAACTTAGGCGTGTGGATTTTTTCCTCCAGGTATGGAGTCAGACTTGTTAAAAACAGCACCCTTCTGCTTGTGATACCACAGCTCCATGGCAGTCAGCTTATCTCTTAAGACTCTGTGCAAGCAAACCAGAGATGTGGAACTCAAAGTATTACACAGCCATTAACCTGTTGCTGCTGCTGCCCTAGATATTGTTGTTTACCCCAGGGCACAGGTAGAGACCTCCGAAGTTGTAACTCAGAGACTGATTGTACTGGACTGTTCCACTGGAAGTGATTTATTTTTAACACAGATTCTTCCACGTGTTGGTAACCTTGAGTAACACAAAAGACAGCTGAAGTGGCTCAGTCTAGGTTATTTCTTCTTATGCTACTTAATATACCATCCTTTTCAGCATCTCATAAAGTGCCTTTCTGTGTTGGGTAACTGCAGCAGGGGGTTGGATTAGGCGTTGGAGCACTAGTAGAGCCGGGTGGGAAGCAGCTACACTGGTGAGCAGCAAGCATGCTCTTTGCAACCCATACCAAGACCCTGCCCATCCACATGCAGCCACTTGTGAGTACTTGACCTTGTTGTTTGTTAATGCACTGTAAATATGTAGAAAACACAACCCCTATTTCTCCCTTTCTGAAGAGCAGTGATGGTAAATTAGTGAGAAGTTAGACACAACCCAGCCACGAAGGGAGTTTTTAACCTGGTAAACAGCCAGGGCTTCTGTGGAGCATACTGGAATCTCCAGAGTTTGGCGGAAGCACGCAATCCTCAAATGACTAATTGAATTGGACAGTAGTCACTAGCGAGAATGTTGCATCCAAAGAAAAGCAACGTACCAACTCTCAGTCAACTGAGTGAAGAAGAGGGAGGAGATGAGATTTTGGCTGGGGGAGAGGGGAGGTTCTTATGTTGCTTCTTTCCTCTTGCAGCACACTTGACTTTGATCCCATGGTGTAAAGCACTTTGGCCGCTCCTCCTTCCCTGCTGCAAAAGACGATCTGAAGTTCGTGTGTCTTGGCAGAGGATTCCTTTCCCAAGTGTTTTTATTTTGGGACTTCAGTTCTAGCGCTTGAACATTTAATCTCTGAAACAGTATAATCTTAAAAGCTATGCTATAAGAAAATCACACCGTTTGTTCTGCAGGTGTCCATTGGTAATGCTTTCCTGTGTCAGGTGAGCTGCTTCTTGCATTAGTTTCTCTCTTTTTTTCTTCACCGTGGACATTTTTCTGAGCTGTTTTTCTGGTCTTAATATTTAAGCACGAATCAGGGGCAAAGTGAGCTAAAAATACTAGCAGAAATATGGATGGGAAATACATTCTGCTTTTAGCCAGTGCCATTAGGTTATATTACAAGTTAACTTTCCAGGGGAGTTACTGTGAAATTGTCTACTGCAATAAGAGATTGGCTGCAAACTTCATCTGCACAAAGATGCAGAAAATGCCTTTGCCGTGTGTTGCTGGTGTAGCTTATACCAGCTGACTTGGGCGCATTAACTAATGTCAGCGTTCGCAAGGAGTGTTAATTCCTTCTCTTGAGTTCTTCCCCAGTACCACTGGCTGTCCTTCTTATCATCCCCAAATTTTTAACTTCTCTCATTACTCTGTTTAATTTAACTCCAAAGCCTTTCGAGATCCCCCCCATCACTGATGACACTGGCAGTCGTGTCCTGGGCCACCGGTGATTCCTGCATGGCTGTGTTGTAAGGTCACTGTCACAAACCGAACCAGCTCCGCCATCAGCCGGTTGCCATTTGGGGTTTTGTTTGCTAGTGCTGCTTTCAGTTTAGAAGTTTCTAGAGTTTCATTTCCCCTATCCAGTCTAAATACATTCATACCTATCTCTTCAAACACCATACTGTATTTTAGCTTAAGAAGCTCTTTTTTCACAGTTGTGATCACTCCTGATGATTTATCTGGAAGGAAGTGTATCTGCTCTCATTTTTATTTTTTTTAAATTTTAATTTGATAAAGTGTCTGGTTTTTGTTTTACTTGAGCACTGGACTAGACTGGGACGGTACTTGGTATGCCACACAGCGGTGTCGGTATTTACTCATCTTCAGTGGTGTCTCACCTGGGCTGTGCTAGGGTTCCTTTGCCTGGCTCCGTCACGCTGACGGATGCTCTTGTTTCAGGACTGACTGGTATTCCCAGGTTATTTTCTCTCCTGTTGCCGTTTCACCTGGTGACTTTTCATTTCACACCAAACTGTCCCAGGTTCCATCCCAAGTTGTGCTGGGGTGCAGAGTGTAGGAGCCATGTCCACGTCTAAGCACGAGGTGTATTTTTATTTTTAACGTAGTGTGTCCAGACATACCTGATTTGCAGTAACCAGATTAGAGATTTGGACCAGCAGCCTCTTGAGTGTTTCTCTCATGGTGTATAATGTGATTAGAGGGGAAGATGTGACAATGTAAAGCTCATGGAAATGAAATTGGATTGCCTGTGGCTATTGGAGACCTTTGCCTGGTAATAGGTCTTGTACCACCTAACATAATTTCTTTGTTAAACATGTTCCCAATAAAATGCATAACTGTCAATTAAGAGAAATATTGTAATCTGATCCTTTAGTATATGCAATTTAAAATGGGGCTTGAGATATTTTTGCCTCTTGCATGACTGCAATTGAGAAGAGACTTGCCTTTTTTCCTGTTACAGATAAGAAATGTTCCTTTATGCTGAGCAGTTGTCCCCATGTGCCACCTCAATCACATTAGGCTGCCTTTCTGGCAAGAATGTTTGGGATGGTGCAGCAATACGATGATGTAAAGCTCAGAGGGACACACCTCCCTTAAATTGTCCTGGTCGCTTTGCTGTGCGTTCTCTGTAGGCAGAGTGCGGGACCATGAGGGTGCTCCAGAGGTTTATCCAGAGGCAGTAGTTCTCAGTGGCTTAGAGTATTTTCTCTTGCAGTAGCAGTAGAGAAACCATCTGCTCTTTAGAAAAGCGCTTTTTGTTTTTGTTTTTGTTTTTCAGGGTCCCACTTTTCTACGTGCCTTTTTGAATACCTCTGTTGTAAAGATGTCTCATGATCACCACATGAACAGCTCCACATTGCCAACCACGCATCCTCCTGAACATGTCCACTCAACAGCAGCCCCAGGACATGATCATGGATCTGGAATGATGATGATGGTAAGTGGAAAAGTCATAATTAACCAGAGAATTTTTCCTTGTCTGTGGTTCAGAGTAACTTGTCATCTTACAGAGAATAGGAAATTAAACTTGGAAGGCATGAATCAATCCAGTTAAAACACAGACCCCATTGTGGCTCCTCTGGGGTGAAGGAGTAGTGTGAGGTGATATGCATCACGAAATGTATTTTAGGGCTGGAGATCCTTTGGCAAAATGGTCTTGTCTTGCAAAAACCTTTCTAGCAGCCAGCCTGGTGTCTTTAGCCAGCTAAAGGCAGAAATGCAAAGTAGGCATTTTCCTGCAAGAAATGGATGGAGTTCTCCAGAACTGTTAGTGTTGGCAAAAGCCTTACCCAGCATTGAGAGGATTGCGCGTTATTATGATGGATTGTACTGACCTGCAGGCGACCAGCCTCTGTGCGCTTTTCCTCCTGGACTTTAAGTACGCGCTCAGTTTGGGGGGCCAAGTGTTACCAGGGCTCTTTGACATTGGCATTAAGGCTGTGTTGGTCCTGAATCCTGCTGCTCAGCTAACTCTGATTTAAACGAGTTCAGACTTGTGCACGCTGGCATCACCGAACCTTTGCAGAGATCCTGGCCAGAGTTTCCATGGAGATGACTGTAGGATCTGTGCCATTGTGTGTACCCAGTTCTAGGGACTTTTTCAACTTTTTCTCCCTTTTCTAAGTACTTTTGGAGTGAGTTTCAGATTTTTTAAACATGACTCGTTATGGTTAAACTTTGAAAGGAAGGGAGAGCATGCCTTTCCATTTGAAATGAGAATATACTCAGGAGTATATTTTGCAAGCCTTCAGTTGAAATTTGCCTGCCAGCCATGTGCCCCGAAGAAGGAATCAAGAATCACTGCTTCACTTACATTGCAAACAGTACCATAGCAGGAGAAAGGACTAGAACAGCCTTCCCCTTTGCGAATGTGGCCAAGTACAAAGCCCAGTAGTGCTGGTGGAACCTGCAGTCCAGCTTTGTCACTGATGTCCTTGTGAAGCTCTTCATAAAATCTAACAGTGAAGTACTGGCATTCTTCGATCGGTTCCGTTCCGTATAAGTGCCATTTCTTTACAAGTGTCAGGTGCTCTTATCTTCAGTGGATAGTTACAGGACCCTGCCTTACCTTGCAACTGAAAACTGTGATTAATTGCACAAGATTTTGAATTAACATTGCACATAAAACTGTCGGGGAAGGAGGTACAGCATCTTAGATAGTAGAGTGAACACATTTCGATGGGTGTATATTCCCATTCCTCACTTGCACCAAGTAACAGGCTCTGTTTCAGCTGTGGTTTATGGAACTAGGCTGTAACACTCTGGGTTGTGGGAGTTTTGCTTTAAAGGTAAAGATATTAAATTCATTAAAGAAATGGATGTACTCTCTGAAAGTGGCTTTATAGTGATTTCTGCTCTGGGGGTAATGAATGTCTGCTCATTCTTATGGATGCTGAAATTAATCATAATTCTGATTTTCAGCAAATACCCTTAATTAAGCAATGAGGGGAGTTCAAAGAGAAATTCCTCTAGCTTAGTGAGTACTTTACTTGTGAAAACACTCTATGCAGCTATAGTCATGACACGCTAAACTGCAATGTATTTACCTGGATAGGAAGATTATATGAACTCCAGCTGGCCAGGGGATCATCGATGTCTCCCCTTCCCACAGTATTCAGGTTCAGGAGCCCTTATTTTCACCCAGGGGAAGCTGTGATCCTGCTTTATATATAATACTCCTTATTGTACCTGTATTTGGGCCTCTATTTCCCATAGGATATTAGGAGGTTCTGTTAGGGAGATAATGGTCTGCTGGCACGGTGCAGGGTGCCACCAGACGATTCAGCTCTTCAAGCCGTTATCTGTGTGAGCTCTCTATTTCCCATAGGATATTAGGAGGTTCTGTAGGGAGATAATGGTCTGCTGGCATGGTGCAGGGTGCCACCAGACGATTCAGCTATTCAAGCCATTATCTGTGTGAGCTTGTATCAGATCAAGGTGGGGAGAAGAACGTGCCCATGAGTAGTCATGGGGAGGCAGGGATGAGCTCCACCGAGACATCCCCAATCCCTGACTACTTCTGATGCTGAGGAGAAAAGGAGCTCCAAAAGCAAGGAGAAGGGACTTTTCTGTAGCAGGTAGTGTGAAGGACAGCGCCTTCTGCCCAGGGGCACTGCCTAAAAGAGCTACCCACTAGGATTGGAACCTGGAGTATCGTTAGCCATGTCTCACTTGGGTGCGTTACGCTAGATTTACTGACGAGTTTCTTCGAGTCTATCTGGTCACTAACTGAAGTGATCTGAGTTCTTGTCATAATACAAAAATCTTTGCTAAATCTTGTTTTGAGCTCTGTCTCTGCATGAGCCATTCCAGCTTATCTTGATGTTCTTTCTGGTTTGGGCAGGCAATGACTTTCCACTTCAGCTATGAGAATGTGCCATTGCTGTTTTCTGGACTTACAATCAATACTCCTGGAGGTGAGTAAAACCGTCTTGTCCAATCCAAACAAAAACTTTGCAACTGATGAATATTTGAGGAATTACCTTGCTATTTATCCCAAAAATATGCAGGCACGCTGCATCGAGTCTGGTTTAAATGGCATCTGTGGGGTGAAAGAAAAAAGAAGATGTTTGTCTAGTTTGAGAATTTGACTGGTCTTACTAGCAAAAGTGATTGCTGGTTTCACTTCATGGGCAAAATTCCAATTAGCGTATGGATTAAACTCACATTTACCATCTGTACGTGCGTGCACGCAGTGCCCAGTCATAGCCTGTGCAGTGTGACCGTGGTTGTTGAATCATACGGTGCATCTTCTGATGTATTTTGAAGCAAATACCTTTTGTCGCACAGATACGTTAATGTTTCCTCTTTTGTCAGAAATGGCTGGTGCTTTTGTGGCTGTCTTCTTCCTGGCCATGTTTTATGAAGGCCTTAAGATTGCCCGAGAGTGTCTGCTCCGTAAATCCCAAGTCAGCATTCGCTACAACTCCATGCCAGTGCCAGGTCCCAACGGCACTATCTTGATGGAGACACACAAAACTGTTGGGTAAGAATTTCACTTCGTTCTAAGATAAGTTTTTTCAGCAGCTGACAAAGGTGAAAACTGGGACAGAAAAAATTTTATGCAGCCAGTATTACTCTCTGCAAAGTATATTGACTCCAGACTGGGATACTGCTTGACGCTGGAGGACACTGCGCTTGAGTCACTTGGCCACCCTTTAGGATGGGGGACAAAAGGAGGAAAGATAAGCAGGGAGTCAGATAAGCTTGTTTTATTTCCAAAGCAGTAACAAACACATTTGGGGAGTTCCCAGGAACAGAATTTGGGTGTTATAGCCAGCAACCCTGACAGAAAATATTTAGGATCCTTCTGTTGGTAGATGGTCAAAGCCTCTACTCAGAAAAGAAGCCATCCTGCTTATTGAATGTGGGGGTAAAATAAGCTCATAGAAGTCTCTTCCTCAGCTAAAAGTTTTGTCCTCCCAGCAAGTGCCATGCTTTCTTTGGTATCAGTCAGCTATGTGGGGAAAACCACTGTTAAAAGCGACAGATGCATGCAGAAGCCTATGTCCAGCCTGCTTTGTTATCTTCTCTGCCATTTCATGCCCACTGTGGCAGCTTGCCAGCCTAAGAGCTCTGTTTTCTCTTTGGGGATGTGCATTTTCCCATCTGTGTCTCACGGACACTGACTGTTCTTTGGGTTTTGTCTTCCCAGACAGCAGATGCTGAGCTTCCCTCACCTCCTGCAGACTGTACTGCACATCATTCAAGTCGTGGTCAGTTACTTCCTCATGCTGATCTTCATGACGTACAACGGATACCTCTGCATAGCTGTGGCAGCAGGGGCAGGGACAGGCTATTTCTTCTTCAGCTGGAAAAAGGCAGTTGTTGTGGATATCACGGAGCACTGCCATTAACACTGGGTGCCGCCCAGAAGCCTCTCCACCCCAATGCTCTCTTGAAGTGCAGCCATCACGAGGACTGGATCATTCCTAAGCTGAAAGAGAAACAATAGAAAGAAAATCAACTGGAGTTCACCACGAGTTCCTAGCTGGGGTGTAGGGATGTGAGGAGCTGGGGTACGCAGCTCCTCCTTGCTGCAGGTACGTTGCTCCTCCTTGCTGCAGCCTGGCAGCAGGATTGACTGTTGAGGGTCCTGTGGTAGCCGTTCTTGGCTAGGATTTGCTTTATTCTTAGATTATGCCGTGATTGAAATTAGTTGGCTGACAGAAATGTAGAAATTATTCTTTAAAAAAAAGTATTTTATTTTTAAATTGTAAATGCTCTTCGTGAGGGTTTTATGAACAGTAGGTAAAGATCGAAGTTGCCAATGAAGCCTACATATGCGAATGGCTATTTTAATTCTACTTTTTTTTTTTTCAATACCTACATAATGCAGGGGAGGAGATCTCCCTGGCATTGTGGCTTTTGGGGCCAATGATGCCTTCTGTTGCAGAAGGACTCAGCCTCTGAGGAAGACTTGGTGCTGCGCATGGGACACACTCAGCTGTGTCCTGCCAAGGGAGTACTTTGACAGAAGTATGTGACCCAGGTGCTTCAGGACCCGTCAGAGTAGGATGAGTGGTGTTAATTGTCTGATGCACCCAGCAGCTTTACTCAGCTTCAAGTGAGAACAGTTGGGTTTGGCTGCTTTCACTTCCCAATCATGGAAAGAAACGGAGTAGATGCAGGACAACGATTGCGTATTCACAGGGCAAAAAGATTTAAAATCAACCATTGAACCCGTATTTACTTCATGCTGAATTGCACCTGGATGGATCTAGAGCTAGACTTTTGGTTTACTGAAACTAGTTCTGTAAATGAAGTGAGAGCTAAATAATGATTTCATGACACTAAAACTTAAAATGTCTGAAGAGGGTGTTCCTTGATTGAGATGAAGGAAATAAAACAACCATGTTCCTGTAAAGGAGAGATTTGGGGAAGAGAAGAAATAAAAGATAGGACTACAGCAGCCTTCAGTCTCTTCTCAGGTGAAATTTGGAGCCGTGTGGGCTGATTAAAAAGTATTCCTGACCCAAAATACTCCTTTGTCCTAACAATCATGCTGTGACTGTGTTAGCTTGGAGGTGCACGAGTTATCCGTGCCAGTCGGGGACAAGTGGTGTAGCATAGTAAAGAACTTCCCGTTCAGTGCAGTGAGCTCTACACATTTCATGGGCAAGACAGGCAGAGGCACAGGCAAAACCAGCTTGCGGCATGCCCGATGGACATCGTGTTTTCATTGGGCAGTGCAAAGACAGACTAAAAGGAGATGAGTTAAAAGCAGGATTAGGTTCCTAAAGAGCTGCTTTCTGTAGCATCAAATTTGCATCTGAGTGAGAGAGGCAAAGTTATTTTCATGGAAAAATTCTAGCCACCTCCCGATGAGAGAAAAGAAAAGCTCTTCCCCAGTCTGGTCTGCGAAGGGAGTTGTGTCTGGAACAGACTGCAGGACATACTGATGCCCTCTCTGCATCTGTCACAACGGTCAAAATCTTGCGTGCCCTCTAAGCAATCATGCCTCTGTGAGAGCGGAAAACAGACCCTTCCCATCCCTGTGTGAGGGGTGAAGAAATCATAGTGTTTGTCAGAGAAAACTGAAGCAGTGAAGTGCTGGAGATGGTTGTGTATGTTTTGAAAGCTTTACACTGCAGGGGCTCGATCCCTGAAGGAGTTCAGAGCCAACGTTGCCAACACCTCTCTGATCCGTTTCCCTTGAACGAGACGGAGTTGTTGCCGCTACAGGGCCGTCTGATTATAGGGTGTAGTCATGAGTGGCTTTGCGTGATGACACTAGTCACTTCATATACCTCTTGCGGTGTCTTTCTCTAAAATAGAACCTCTGCTTGGCCTGATCCTCTTGCTGTCACCTTTTAACCACCTTTCCTTGTAATCAAGTGACCAGACTTGAATTCTCTGATTCAGGTGATCAGAGATGGATGACTTGGAGATTAGGCAATAGCTGTGGCTTTTACAATATAAATTTGGTTCTCATTAGCTTTTCTGCCTCATTCTATGTGTAGCATCTGTGCCCTTGAAATTGTTTCTCCCCTGAGGAGGAGTACTTCTGTCTTGAAGGAGTTCTCTCTTGCCCACGCTCTCACAGGAGGGCACACCGCTTTCTCCAGTGTGCAGAGAGGGAAGTGTGGTCGCTTGGGGAGCAGAAACCTGGGCAGAAATACCCCAAGTGTCCAGCAAGCACCCCAGCTACCTCCCAGCAGCCTGGAAGAATGATGGCTTCAGCATCAGGCAGCACCCGAGTTAGAAACGGGAGCCCAGGCTGGGCTCTGGGGAGAGGTGCGCAAGGGAAGGTGGTTAAGGCGAGGAGATGGAGGGCGATGTCCTCTCTGCTGCGGAGCTCGCCGATACAGAACTGAAAGGGATGTCGCTCATGTCTCCCTGCCAGCTCTGCCCGTGCTTGCTTTTGGTTCCATGTTGACAATCCAGAGAAGCCACCTACCTCCCTGCGTCCCAGCCTCCCCCTGGTCCACCACTTGCCACCGGCTGCTGTGTTCTTGGCCCAGGTTGCCATTTGCTTTGCCAGAGGCTGAGCAAAGCTTGGCCTCCCTACTCATGACTTGTGACTTGCTTTGGTGCAGTCCCAGCCTTTCTGCTGGCTGTAGTTAAAGCTGTCCTGGTAACGCTAAACTCGCATGAAGTAGTTTTGGAGGGAGGTGAGGACTTACTATGAGACTTGAGTAAATTAAATTAATATGTCACCACACGTGTAGCATGCTTGGAATGTGATGTCCTGCATCTGTCTCTGTACCCTGATGTTTGGTCTCCACACGCTGTGCCTTTGGATTATCATCTTGGAAGAAGTGCATGAAGTATCCGGGCTGTGTTCATCAGCTGGCTTTTGTTGGTTTTCTTTGAGTGCCTTTTCAGTTCTTCTGAAGCCAGTCCCACCAAATCCAGCAGGATTTCTAGTTTTGTTTACAGTGGACTGTCATTTTTGTTTTTACTATTGCTCTTTGTGGAGGTAACTTGTCTAATGTTACTGTGAATATCAAGAATCTCCTGTATATAATTAACCAATAAAATAGATTGCATTTTACTGCAGTGGATGTGTGTTTTGGAAACAATCCTCAACACGGAGACCGCAGCTAACGCGGAGGCTGGTGGCTGTTACTGCAACATTCAGAAAGTGACTCGGAGGGTAAGCACCCGCTTTTATTAGCAAGAGGCCCCACAGCCTGGCAGCTCCAGTCTGGCCCTGGAGCCACGACCCATCTGTGCCTCTTCCGACGGCGGAGCAAGCCGCCGGGGCCAAGCATCCATCTTCAGGTGGTTGGGGACGGGAGCGAGCAGCAGCGGCCGCCAGCCCTGGAGCTGCTGGAGGGGGAACGCGGGAAGTCACCGATGCACAAGGAGCTATTTGTTTCGGTTTTTCTTCCCCTGTGCGACCCAAGGATGTCTGGAACCTGCCGAGATGTTTCCCTGTTGGACTGGGGGCATGCTGGGAATGCCTGAATAACAGAGCAATCCCTGGCAGTTTTATGCGGCTGGAAAGCAGCTCTGCTCCAGGCCAGGCTGTGGCCCTCTCCAGTTTGAAAAGTTTCAAGTTCCGTACATTTCCCCAGCCTCACCTGAAATTTGATGCACTTACAGCATATGAAGCCTGAATTTAACAAGTCTGGTTTGGAGCATTGCTGGAGGCACTGAAGAACTGTAAGTGATGGCTGTGCTGGTAGGGAACAGTCCCAGCCGGGAGCAGGGGAAGCCCCCGTTCCACCTCCGAGATCCCTGCGGGTGTCCTGGCGCAGGCCCCGCGGCTGCTGGTGCCCCGCTCTGCCCCCTGCCCCAGCCTGCAGGGACCGGAGTTTCTGAAACACCAACAAGCTGCTTCAGTTTGTGTAACTAACTCGGTTCCTTCGGCTCACCCGCCTGCACGCTGAACTCCTCCTCTTTGGGGCTCTGCGTTCCCTCACCTTTCCTGACGTGCCCAGCCAGCTGACGGGGGTACGAGTCGCTGTTGTGAATCCGGGTACGTGCTGGTTACTCTGTCAGAAATCAATCCACCTTGCTGCTTTTTACGTGACACCAGCGATAATTAAACAGCAACAATCCAAGCAACAAACATTGCTGGCAGCTACCTGAAGCAGGGTGACAAACTAGCATGGCTGAGGTGATGTGCTTCCCGGGGCCGAACAGAAGCAGAACGGGCAAGCACAAGGAAGAACTGCTCAATCAGAAACTACGGGATATCGTTCCGCATCCGGGGTGGCAGCCGTTCCCTGCTGAGGGCCCGACCCCCATCCCAGCTGCGGCGCTGACTGAGCAGTGGCTGTGCAGCCGTCCCTGTGAACGTCTGGGACTCGCGCAGACGCGGGGGCTTCTCTCCTGGCCCTTCAGGACAGGGCAGAGCAGCGTCTGCGGGTGCCGCCGCCCGCACCCAAGCTGCAACACCCGCTGCCTTTATTCACGTGGGCTTGTAGAACGTTAGCGAGACGCTCTCCAGCACGTTGTTAGCGGGGTCACCAACTCGGAGGGCTAAAGGTTTAAATGGACACGTTCCA